AGTACCGTGACTTGAAAGAACCGCGCAGTTTTAAAAAGGACAAAAAAGAAAAAAAACCGTAGTAAACCCACTCTCGACTCTGCGTCTGAAACTCGGGATACTTCTTGGACACGAGTTCCCACAATTCGTCGAATGTTACTTGAACAGCCGAGCAAATGTACCTCCCTTTGGCTTTCGGGTGTTCGAAAAGGAATATATGCGCACGCGCAACATCATCCGTGTGCACAAACGGTGTCGATTCATGATATTTGAATGCACCCTCATTTCCTTCACAAGATCATTAAACGAACAAAACATATCCTCAACCCAATCAGCCAAATGTAAAACTAATGTCCAAAATAGCTTTTTAGGTCTATATTTGGTAAAACTAGCTGATAGCTGATAACTAGCTTATAGCTTATATGAGATTTTTAAGCTCCGATATAGTTGAAAAGCTAGCTTATATGATAAAAGTGTTTGATAAAATTAACTGATAAAATAAAAAATTCAACGAGCTTATTTGAAAAGCTATTCAAAGAAGCTTATGAGATAAGCTCGAGCTTTTTAAAAAAGCTCGTCCTACCAAACGAAACTTATTTGAATACAAGAAGCTCATAAACTAACTATAAGTTAGTGTCCTGAACTCAGCTCAACTTGATCAAAACCAAATTATCGGTTACTATCAATAGTCGGTTATACAACTTACTTTATGATCACGATCCTACATTATCGTAGAAAACCGCCAAACTATCGGTTACTATCACTAGTCGGTTATATAACTTTCTTTATGCTTACGATCCTACATTATCGTAGAAAATCGCCCTCCATTTCCCGTAAAAAAAAAATAAAATAAAAAAAATAAAAAAAAAGCAACAATTGACAAAGTACACATACCCATAAAGACAGCTAGAGAAGACTTAACCGAGCCAGGCAAATCGGGACACACGAAAGGGCCGTGTATCCAACTAGGGACCACGCTCACGACCTCCAACCCGTGCTTCTCACCAAAATCGAGAGCTGCCCTCTCGGTCAGCGTCTTTGAAACACAATACGAGCTTCCGTATCCTCCCGAGCTTCTCACAAAGTCCACATCACTCCAAAAACCCTCGTCCACCAAGCTGCCCGAGCCGATCTCACGGGCAGCCACGACTGTGGATGCGCTCGACGTGTACACGACCCGTCTAACGGTTTTAGAGTCGAGAGACGCTTGTAATATGCCTAGTGTTGCCCTGACCGACAGCTCGGTTATGGATTGTTCGGTTTGTTGACCGTCGAATTCCATCGGGTGTGCCACGTGGAACACTCCCACGCAGCCCTCGATTGCTGACCGGAAGCTATCCGGGCAGCTCAAATCGGCTTCGAAGAAACGGAGCTTTTGTGGGGCACTTGGGAGGTTTGTAAGGAAGCTGATGTCTTTCTTACTGCCTGAAAATTGTCATTCTCAGAATCTAAGTGACTGTTGAGTATATACGAGGCAAAAATGCATTTTTAGTCATGTTGGTTTAACATCGTAGCAATTTTAGTCCCAAGTTTCAACTTTTGTATAAAAGATTGAAATTGCAACAAAATTCATAAATTAAAGAACTTAAACTGCACCAAAAATTTAGATTACAATACTTAAATTGCTAATCGGAAATCTGAGAATTTGTAAATTTGTTGCAATTTTAATTCTCAAACGACTGAAATTTGTTGGAACATTGAGACTAAGATTGCTATGACGTTGAAAGAACTAAAAATGCAATTTTGACTACATATGAATATATAAATATGATTATTTTTTGGAGGAATCTATAGCTTAAATGATCGAATTGTTTTAAAAGAAGAAAAAAGTTATCTATTCCAATAAAACAGACGGTCAAATGAAGTAGCAACTGGGCTGATGCTAATGAATTTAGGCACACAACAACACAATAGTAATACAAATTAACACAGCAAAGATAATTAACTAACTACTGCAAACTTTTTGCTTGCTATATATCCATAATCAAAGAACTTCACATCCTTGTTATGGAATAATTAGTTACAAACTCTACCTTTTGCAAGCAATAATTTGCAACCTCGGCTAGTTAAGGCAAGAAAAATAAGAAGATTTGTATAATTTTCTAGCTAGGTTAAGGCTCGACGCGACTTGTTATTACTTATTACTGATAAACGAGTTGAGCTTGTTAAAGGTTCGATCTTGGCTCGCCCGCATAAAGAAAGAGAAAATTGGTTAAAAGGGAAAAAATTAAGAAAAAAACCTGAAGCATGAGGCCTAACAGTGGTGTTAACAGAATAGCCATGTTCAAGGAGGGATTTGATGAGCCATGAAGCTACAAATCCTGTTCCTCCTGTTACACAAACTGTTCCCTTTTCCTCCATTTTTTTTTCTGCCAAACAAGACTCTCCTTGTCAAGCTTGTTTGTTTACTCTTTTGTTAAAACCACATATTTTTATTTTATTATTAGTTTTTGAAGGATAGATATTAGTAATAGTCAACGTAAACTGAAGTATATCTTGAATGAATGAATAAATTAATTGTGACCGTGTATTGTTCTTTTGGGTGCTTTTAGGCTCCTTAGAGCATATCTATTGCGGAATTGTTGAATCCAAAAAAGATGTGAAACATAATATCTGTCTTTATTTTTTTTTCTTTAATGTCTTGGTCAATATTTTTTTTGACATGGCGTGACCACTTTCTTTTTCTCCAATGCTCACTGTCTTGGCCAATATTTTTTTGGCGTGGCGTGACCACTTTCTCACCCACTGTCTGGAGGTAGAAAGTCTCTATGACAATCAGCAGATCATGCCAAAATCATAAAAAAACGTGGGAAAAAAAGTTGCGCCAACAAACAAAACGTGGGAAAAAAATTTGTTGTTGTAGAAAATGAAATAAAAATATTCTACAAACATGTTGTTATTTATTTATTTATTTATTATGAAGAATGTTTGTGTGTTATTCATTGTCCATGTTTTTAAATATTTTATATCTAATTTCACTACTATTAGATTTAAATTTTATGTACAAAATTTAAGATGAAAAAATTTATAAAATTCAGGCAAGAAACATACAAACACTTAAAATTATTTTAATTTATAAAATATAAATTATGAAAATTAGATAAATAATTTAAACTAAAATCTTTAATAAAAAATAAAATCTTATAAAAATACTTGTGAAGTACAAACGTCTCATAATTTTAATTGTTTATATTAAAAAAATGAGTCACAACTGATGAACACGTGTCAAATAATTAAATAATAGGTCTTTGTTGGTTATCGGCAATGTTCTAAAAGTCGCCAGGCGCCCTCTAGGCAGCGCCTAGCGCCTAGAGCGCCTAGTCGAGGCCCAAAAATCAATATTAAATACTTTATTTTTTATTTATTTTAACTACCTACAAAATAAAACTGTCTCAACTTATAATAAATTCACACACCAAATTCCAAATAATAATATCAATATATATTAAAGAAAACATGAGAATAAAATAATATAATTAGTATTTAAAAAAATAAAAAAAATAAAAAAATAAAAAAAACTGAAAAATTGCTGCCGAGCCCGCCTAGGAGCGCCTAGGTCCGCTTACGCCCGCCTAGACGCCGCCTAACCGCCTGGCCGCCGAGCCCCCCGAGCCCGCCTAGGAGCGCCTAGGGCCGCCTAAGCGCCGCCTAGCCGCCTGGTCGATTTTTTTTGCCAATTTGTACAAATCGGAGGCGCCCGGGCACCGCCTAGCGCCTAGGCGCCGCCTAGGCCGATTTTTAGTACAGTGGTTATCGGTAAACTAAATAAATATTAATTGAGACATTAAACTATTTATTAGTCAAATTTAATTTTAAATAGTGAAGACATTGAGTCTAAAATAAGTTGTTTGTATTAAAAAAATGAGTCACAACTGATGAACACGTGTCAAATAATTAAATAATATGTATTTGTTGATTATCGGTAAACTAAATAAATATTAATTGAGACACTAAACCAGTTAAATTTAATTTTAAATAGTGAAGACATTGAGTCTAAAATAAACATTGAGCCTAAAATAAGTGCATTGAAGTTGGTTCCAAATTTTATGTCAATATTAAAGTACATTCATTTGACATTGAAGTTGGTTCCAAATTTTATGTCAATATTAAAGTACATTCATTTGACATCTATTAGACTGTACCAATTACATCAAATGTCCCCAAATATGCTCTTAGGGAATGTCAATTCAGTTTTTGACAGTTTTTTAGTTGTATTTATGTGTTCTACTTATAAATTCCTATCGTTT